CTCTCTCTCTCTCTCTCTCTCTCTCTCTCTCTCTCTCTTCTTTTTTCTTTCTTTTTTGGGCACACTGCCAACTAGTGGTCGCAGCACCGCTTTCGCGTTACCTCGGGATGGACACTCAAGCATTTTTTATCCCCACTACATTACACTAACTCCTCAGTCCTCGCCTGAGACTAGGGATTCGAATGTCGTTAACGTGTGGCCTTATATCGAAGCATATTTTGCAAAACACCGGGAAGGTGCACTTTGAACTTATTTAACCAAGTAGTTACGCCAGTCTCAGCTTGCGGCACAATCAGGGCAGTGTCATCCGCATAACCTATCAATTTCTCTTCGGTTGTAAGATTCATATGAGAGTCCATAGGAAGGAAGCTAGGACGGATCTCCATGGTACACCTGCATTAATCCTCTATTCTCTAATGCAGTCGTTTGTAGTATATGTAGTATATGTCTATCATCTTATAATGGTTTCCCAGTCCACCGGGTTAAAGGCGTTTCTGATGTTCAACGTGACGACAACGCAGAACCCCATTGCTTTGTTGCTTTTTTGTTCTGTCGGGACCACTCCCTCAACAGCATCAATATTTGATCCTTGTTTCACAAAACCAAACTGATGCTTTGAAAAGCCGCCTCGGTTCTCCAGGTGTTTTTCTAATCTGACTAGCAGCAATCATTCTAAAAGTTTGTCCACGTTGTTCAGGAGACGGTCAGGTATATAAGAAGACGGATTATCTACCGAGCTATCGGGCTTTTATAGCAAGACCAGAAGTCATCTCTTCTACATTGTTGTTGTTGGAAAACTGCCCAGTCTGAAGCAAAAATCGTACGTATTACCGAGTGAAGCCGGCAATATGTTACCAAGCAGTTGTATTATTTCGATTGCTATTCAATCAGGCCCCGATGCTTTCTTCTTTTTGAACGTTCAACATGTTGCCTGGATTTCTTCCGTTGTAGTTACACGTCCTGACAAGGCTCTTGTTTACTCTATTTTAGACCTAAACTGATGCTTGGTTGCTGGAGGTAGCTCGTCTACTATAGTTTGCATTCAGGCAGCATGTGCAATGCCTATTATAGGATTTCCGCGGCTAACCTCCTTGCTCATTGTCACATTTTAATTGGCATAATTTGGCATAATTCTTTCCAGCATCTCAGTGTCTCTGTCCATCTATCTATCCACATTTCCCTCAATAACTTAACTTAGGACGAACTCATTTCTAATTCTATTAAAACGACGTTTCAATATTAACTTAAATCTGCGTCTTGTTTTCGTAATTTCAGATACATCTCACACTTGTTATATGTGAACGGCGCTAAATTAAAGTTGTAAGTATGTCATTAATATTTAGTTGTGTGTTAATTTGATGAAAAACAAACATAAATTAAGCAATCATTCATTTACATATGCTAATGGATGTGAAAACTACATCCATCACGACCCTGGCGTAGCAATGCAATATATGGACTGATTTACGAAAAACCAACAGGCCACACTAAATGAAACTTGTCTCGTAACCGTTAGCTAATTAGCTAATGTTGAGTTAGTATCCGATCTCGGCATTCGTCCTACTCGAACGCATCCATTCGATCAAAGTTTTCATTTGGACGACTGAATGGAGCAAAGAGAGAAAATTGAGAAAATAGAGATTAATAAAAAGAAAAATGTTCGAATTTGATGATTTCTCGCGAAGGAAACAGTGAATGAAAAAAAAAATTTAACTAAAAAGAAGAAAAAAATGACCCGCTCTTCGCTCCTCAATCTCAAAAGTTGGTCTCCATAAAAATAGCGTACAAAAGATCCACGCATATTTCTTTCGTGAACAAAAACAACAAAAAAATAACAATAATAAAATTCGAATTGCCTTAGGAATATTTTTTACGAAAAGCTCGAGAAATTTTAAGATTGGCCTACTGTTGTCGCACATTAAATGCGAACTCCATTCGATGTACGAACACGAGTGAAGTCATTTGTCAATGCGACTAATGCCATTTTCTTTATGACACTAAACTGTGTATAAGTTTAACATTGTTACGTAGCTTAAGAGAACGGTGTTAGAAGTGTTTACGTTTCAGAAGAGAAGGAGCTCGAGAACAACTGCACAAACATATTTCGTTTATTCATCTTTCGTCTTTATTTATTTTTAAAACAATTATAATCTCCCTATTGTAAAACTAAGTTACAACAAAAAAAAAAAAAAAAAAAAAAATGATATTAAAAGTACGTAATGCCTTTTACGCAATTCAATAGTAAGCGTGATCTGAATAGAGCTTCAGCTTCCCCCCTTTCTTTCTGTTGCGCACGCAGGCCTAATTAATTTATGTAATGCTTTTATGCATTAATAAAATACTCGTACAAGCAACATGTGACCAAAAACACGCGTACGTCTGAACACCCATGAATATGAATAAACTTCAACATAAACATAAACGTAAGCATAAACATAACTATAAACATAAACATAAGTATGTACATACATCCATTGTACATGTATTCCATAGTTAGTTAACGCAAGTGTATACGAATGATTTAGATGAAAAACACTTTATGTATACATAATAAACACGTTCACGGTGTTGGAATTTCGAAATAACAGCTGCTGTGCATTGCTGCTATGATTGCGGCGGTTCGAAACCAACACAAACGATTGACAGTATATGAGCCATAAAAGATTCACTTCCTCTTTGTAAAGCTACCAAGAGTTGAATTGTGTGTTGTTCATCGTGCTATGTACACGGAGAGGTACGTAAACGTTACAAAATTTATATGTGAGAAGAAAACGTTTCTCGCTCAAACATATATCCGCTAATGCGATCGATATAAATGCACAAAAACCAAATTCTCATCAGTTTCTATTATAATAAATAATTCTTTCAATTGGCATTTTTAAAAAATTCAATTTTTATCACCTGCAATATTAGTAAAAGTCAAACGTAGATAAGAAACGAGCATTACTTTAAAGAGCTATAAAAATTTATCATATTAAATCTATCTATATATATATATATATATATATACATATATATAAATATTGAAGGGTATAGGGCCCGTGCTTTTTTTTTTTATTCAAACCAAACTCAACATTTGTGACTAGCATTGTTGGGCAACGCATCATGGAAAATCATATACTTATTACAATCTGAGGCAGGTCTATTTTTGTACCCTTTACTTACATATGACACAAACGTGCAATAAGTTTGTGCGAACGTATGTAACACGCAGAAGGGCTTGAGCTACAATCCGTCTATACGTCTGTCTGTCTGACTATTCACTCACGAACGCTATTGAAAATGCTTTGGATCGGTGCGTGTTTTCGACCATTCCACATATAAGAATAGGGCACTATTTTGCAATATGGAATAGTAAAACGCGGATCTATCTTAAGCCCTCCTACGCGTTAGGGGCATTCGTAAAAACTTGAAATATCCTGTATCTACCACAAGTCGAATAGAGTATGATAAACAGCTTTAGTTAAACGCTACTCAAACCATCCAATATTTTGTGAAAGCTTAGCTTCAAACTACTTCCTTGGTTTTTCTCACTGATTGTATTATGGTTACTTAACAAAATTTCAACTGCCGTTGCCTCACATAGACATTGCTTTCGGTATTCATCTTCTACATGTTCGTGGAACATTAAAGAACTGTTTTGATCAATCCATAAGTACGCGTTGCAAACCATGCAACAATTCCATCCATATCCACCACGAGAATATCAAAAATAATTATTTTCGTGATATTATGATGAAATTGGGCGCTGACATGTCTTGACCCAAGAATGAATGCCTGATTGCTGCCCCTGCATATTTCTGCTAAAGCTGTAGATCGTCATTCCATACATGACATACTTAAGTTAATTCGACATCTTTGAAATGGTTCAAGTAGCAAATCGTTTCCTGTAAATGTGGTATTAATATCTTCAGTCTGCGACGTCATAAATGTTTTCGATCGTTAAAATTTTCGGTTATATGCGGTAAATAGTTGTTCGCTCAATCATCACACACAAATGTACGACATGTATATATTTGTGATTGTCTGAGGAGGAAGACCTACAATGTGCAGTATCCGAAGAGAGCATTTATCAAGGATTCATGCAATATTAATTTCATATCATGTTCGTAGTACGCGGTTTGGTCATGATAGTCAAGTATAAACTTTTACTTTTTTTACATTTTACATTTGACATAGTAGAAAAAGTTTGTTATATCAAATTTTGGCGAATTAACGAAATGTGTATGATTTGAAAAATTTTAATTTAAATTCATCAACGGCTTTGTTTAACAGAACTTTCTTAATGCCCAAACAGACTTCTGCTCAAATTTTTGGTTTACGTTGTTGTTGGCTAAATTTAAGTGTAAATTGACACCTTCACGAAGTTGAACTTATTCATTGCAGTCTTAATACCCTTCCGCATGTTAGTTAGAATGAAGATTACAAGTCTCAAATTTTGTATAAAATGACAAATTTGGTCGCGGCGGATCCATTCTCTCCTTTGTACGTTCGACATGACCTGAATAACATGACATGCATAACTTGTTCACTTGCAAAACTACAACGCTCCGATATATGCCCTGGTATACCTTCAATGCGTTAGCAATACATGTTACGTGGCCTAAATGCCTGCGAACTGCATAACTTCGAAAAGAATTATATAATTTGTTTGGTCGTTCAATACTCTAATAACTAATTCAGCTCTCATTAATTGAAGATATACGCGCAAGCAATTGTGTTCATTATGTCTAATGACGAAAAGAACGATAATGAGGGAAAGAAAAAAATTTGACTTGATTCGCTACTTACGCGTGAACCATTTAAATGGAAAGTACTGTGAGAACGTTGAAAATGTTTCGAGGTGAGTTTTGATGACAGTTGATCGCAAGTCAAGTGAAAAACATATTGAGCCCGTATCTTATAATAATGAAATATTTAAGAGCAACGACCATAAGTAAGTATTTTGAAAAATTATGGGTAAAATTGATTCGTTTGCTGTAAAAACAGGAAAAAGCACTTAACTGACATTCGAGTAGAAAGCAAAGAATTTGTTTTTAATACATACACTATAATATATGTACATATAGTGCAGGGCATGTTTAACTTAATGAACAGGAAAATACTCTTAATACGAAATCGTGGAAATTGAAAAGAAAAACATTATAATTAAACCTCTTAAATGGAGTCAGAAGTTATTTATGTATAAATATATATATATATATATATATATATATATATATAACATATTCATATACATGTCTAAATGTATATATAAGTACATACATAAGATTTTGGTTTTTTTTTTGTTCTCTTTGCAGCTCAAATGCTATTCAATTTCAGCGTTTAGCAATAGAGTTGATTGTCTTTAAAAATATGACTACAGATTTTTATGTAAAAGAATTCAATTTATAGAAAAGTTTGATTCGAATAAAAATCATGGCCATGCATAATACAATGTTTTCCGGGGCGACAGCCAAATTCCAAACTCGACCGGCCTCACCACAATTTGCCAACTTCTCACCACCCGTTGATTATCCTCATGTGCAAACTCAAATACCTTCTGATCGCGGTTTGGCATCCCATCATCACCATCATCAGGTATTTGGTCAGCAGCCGATACAGCATCAGCAGCAACAAAAACAGCAACAACAACATGCCTCTTTGTCGATGTCGATGCGTCAACCAATAAAAACGTTGAAAGCAAGGTCGGCATCATCTTCTTCCGGTCATCACGTGACTACTTCGATGGGTATTGGTATGATGTCACCCATGTCTGGAGGAAGCTTGGGTCATCATCGAGGTGATTTAATATTTCCTGATGATGTAGACAGCATTGAATTTTGTCTACCACCACCGCCAGCTCCCTCCAATGAAATGGCTCACGGCATGAGCAATGAGCTATTGTTAGTGCATGGGCATAATGGTTTATGTGCCGGAGATCCTTTCCCCGAACGGCGAAGAAGAGGACATGGCAGACGTAGCAACCATAAAATGGATGTAGAGCATCAGGTAAACGTAAGAAGCTCTAATGTTAAATAAATGGACTTTTTTTCAAATTTTAATTTCGTATTTTGTATTTCTTAAAATCCGTTCATAGGTTAAATGGTCTCGTAAAAATATTGCTGCTACGATGGAACGTTTTGAACCCACACAACATCATTCGTCTTCATCCACTTCTTCGTTGGAGTATGGTTTCGCTGCCAGCGTAGTTACACCCTCTTCAACTCCTTCACATCATTCACAGCAGCAAATATCTCCAGCCCCCTCACAAACGTACCACGGTGTTGCTGGTGCCACAGCACCTTATAATCATGTTTACTCATATGCTTATTATGAACCTGGGGCAATTAAGTGTCATACAAATATACCACAGAAGGATGGACCTACTGCCATAATGCCAGCTTCCTCGGCTATCGCTGGCACCTCCAAAAGTCCGCCACGCAATTCAATAAGAGCTCTATTGGCCAAAAGTTTTCGTTCCAAATCCAGTAACGGTCAGTCTACCTCCTCTTCGCCCAGTGCTGATGACAGACATACCTATACCACCCGTTATGGCACCACCGAAAATCTTTACGAGGAAGTCAATGATCAAAAAATACGTAAAGTGCTATCGGATAATCGAATAGCCACTACAAATGTTAAGGAAGAATTGCGAAGAGTTCAACATAATCATTTTCGAGTCTTAGACGAGCTCAACCTTTCATTAGAAGCTTTGATTATGCCCCAAACGCCACCTGATGTTAGTCCCAATCAAGTTGAAGATGATGAGGGTCCCACGACAAGCGCTGCAGCTGTTGCGGCAATCGCTTCTTCTAGCACTGGAACTTCAGCGGTCGGTTTACAAAGACCACGCCGTGGAGGCCTATTAGGTGGAGCATCTTCATCATCGTCGACAGTGTCGTCGTCACAACAACGTACTTTGTCTCACGCTAGTTTGGAAAATTTGTCCTCAACTCTCAACTCCATTGAACTTAAAGATCACGCTCACAGTTCGTGCATTAATCCTGAGTTTGATGAGGGTGACCTGGACAGTGGCTTTAGCGGTAGCGGCAGCAGCAGCGGAGCCAGTTATAATGAAAGTTTACGTTATTATAAAACCGGTTCAGCTAACACTCATCAACAACATCCGCAACATCAGACACAACCACAGCATCTTCAGACCACCACATTACCAAACAATATACGCAGTTACCGATCATCGACTGCTTCCGGTACCTCAACCTCCAAAAGTAGTATGGCTTCGTCCGAGGATCAAGGCATTGGTATGATGACTTCATTAGGCGGCTGCGCTGCTGCCACCCTTGTAACATCACCCGCCAATGGCAGTGGTGCAATAGCATCACCTTTCAACTATGTGCGCCGCTGCACTGATACACAGCGAGCGTCAATGCGTTCAGTTTCTGCCGCCTCAGCGACGGGTGCAAAACCGAAAAAAAACTTTTGGAAAATAAAACCGTGATGCTGCAAAAAAGCATTACGAAAATTCTGTAAGAAATGGAGTATTGTGGTGGTAAGTTTTGCGATAATAATAATATAGAAGTGGTTTAGAGTAACTTGCGAAAAAAACAAAAAAAAAAAGGGGAGAGAAAGAAAGAAGCGAAAAAATTAAACTAATAGGATGCAAAATACAATGTGAAGCAAAGTGATGTATATTTATACTTATTTTAAATTTAAACAAATTAAAATATTAATACATATGAAATTTTCTTTTAGTTAAACTAAGAAGAAATTCGTTAATTTCATTATAAAGCAAAAAAAACAAAAAACAAAAAAACAAAACAAAAAAAACAAAAAAGGCAATTAATAAAAAAACACACAGTTTTCTTTTTCTTTCTGAGAATATCGACAAAATAAATTTATTGAATTATTTGATTTAAACACGGAAATCATTAGTGTTTTATTTATTTTTATTAAAACTTTTACTTCATATTATTTGATCATTCTTTAATTAGCCGATTGGTGAGTCTTTTAATTTGCTTTTTTTTATATATATATATATATATATACATATATAAATATTATTTGCACAATATGCTCTGAAATCGATAGCAGCGATTGAACTGCAGTGTTACGGTTAAAAAAACACGGTTAAAAACGGCACGAAATATGTGAAAGGCATGTATCTGGGGGCAGAGGTCTTCCTCTTATATAGTCAAGCGAGATTTAAAGTTTACTTTTTTTATTACGGCCATTACAGCTATGGTACTCTATCCATGATATGCTAGTAATGTCCCAAAGTAATTGATTTGTAGCGAATCAGATCGAACGGCACATGACAGCTGAACAAAAAGTGTAAAAACTATCGCACTCAACTGCAAGCTACGGATCACTTTTCTGCATGACTCATTTACAAATTATGATGGCGCTTAGGAGTTTAATGGTCATCAACAAACGTTATTGAATCATTTGAAGAAAGCTGGCTGAATTTCCAAGGTCGATATTTAAATTCCACACGAGTTATATGAGTACAATTTCTTTTTTTTGTTGGGAATTCCTCCCGAAAAGTAAAAAGTTCAGGTCGTTTCGCAGGCGCACTGCTGTGCGTATGTGAAAATCGGAATGAAGATGTTGCGATGCGGGAGCAAAATAGCGTCGCCTATCGAACTTTCATCGCACTGAGCATTTAAAGTAGAAAAGAGTGGAGCTTCGCAGCTGGAAAGGTGACATATATGACCGCACACGCACATGTTCTGTGATCTACCACTTAAGTGTTATATGCATCGGCTTACTATGTATATAATGAGAATTTTTGTTGCAGGAACTGCTTTAAATTTTCACGTTCCTTATTTTAAGTATTCTTTGTACTAAGTGTAGGGTAACAGATAAATCGCGACGTTTGATATCTCTAAACTGAGAATGAAATAATCATTTCTCCCCTACCCTTAAGCAGTTCAAAAGTGCTAGAATCAATTTTTAAATGATGCTAAGTAAGAAGTAAGTAAGATTGATTTAAATTCCTTCAAAGAGTCAATTTATTATCCCATAAATTTTATGAAACTGACTTATAAGGACTACATATTAAACCAATAACATTCATAATAACATATAAAGCTATATGCTTCAATGCATTGTCAACATGTTATGTTTGGTACTTAGCAATTACAATATTTATTAATTAAAATGTGAAGAACTAATCCAGCTGTGTTAAGGAAGAACCTTCCGTTGCAGCAATTGTAATTCCCTGCATATCCGTATTTATGCGCAGTCAAGCGTGCAGGCATAATCCGTGTGTATCGGTATCCGTGTGTGCGTGTGTATGTATGTGCGTGTTTATGTATTTGCAATTGTGTTTGCATTGCGCACGTATATTAAATACATGGGAAATCGAAAAATATTCCCAAGGTACAAGATATCATTATAATCTCTTTCATCAGCAACATTATTAAACATTGGGTTAAGATTTGGTTGATACAATTACGCATATACGCTGCACATGCCAAATAATGGATATATGGGTCAACGATTAAAAGTGCTATTGTGAATCGTACAAGCGTAAAATAAATCAATTTAAACTGATTGGATGGTAGTCGCGAGCATTTGTGCATACGCTCACATTGTACGCATTATTTCAATAATAACTAATCTCGAGCGTTTCGGATTTAATCGATTGTCATGTTTGTTATAACATCGCATTAGTGACACTTTACATAAAATAGATCAAAGTAAAGTATTTGTGTCATTTTTTCAATTACATTCAAACATACACACACATTTTCCATTCATTTTGAATGAACCCTGTAGGTAATCAATTCCGTCAATTTTATGGCGATTTTTGCGATTTTTCTAGTAAAACTATTATGCAACCGTTGTAGAATTTCTAAGATTTCTGAAAATGAGCCACCAAGTAGTATTCGTGGGCCCCTAAAGGAATTCCATAGCCAGCAAAAAAAAAAAAAAAACGATGGTTAAACGAGTCCAGGCGCGGTCTTTATAACGAATGCAACAAAATCTTTCGATTTTTATTGACTCATTTAAAATTGGGCGTGATTTGGGATTGTCGTGATAGAAGTCGACACGTTTTATTACGAGTACTTTTGGTGTCTTAACCTCCATCCCCATCAACCTTAATCGCACTGGTCATAGGTAGCAGTGAGTTGGAGCAGCCCATAATGCAATATGCCTTTAAAACCCCACTTAACGCAAAGCCTTAGTTTACATAGTGTGAATTCGGGTTTTTTCTTTCCTATTCTTATTGGACTACGATCTGTGTAGTAAATTAATGTCGTATGTAATTTACTTTCCATTGCATAATATCATCAAAAATGATTCAGCTTCGTTTCAGTAGCTACTTCTTTATATGGAGTTGTTCGACACAGCTTTTGTTTTTTGCATCATGTTAACGCCTCATTGGACACAACGACGGTTCTTTGATGATTTTTGAACGGGTCAAGCCTACGAAAAAGTAAAGGAACTAAATTTTCATGCTCTATGATATGGAGAGGGCGCGTCTGATTTTGTCTATTTTCGCAATAAAAGCTTTTATCATAGGTGTGCGGGCGGTGTAGGGTAATTTTTGAAAAAGTTTAAGTCGCTTCCAAATTCTTTTGCAAACTTGTAGGCGATATTTTCATTTTCGCTAACGGCAGAAAGTTTACCACAAACTCTACACATTCGTGCAGATAACGAGATGCGCATGTTTAGATACATTGAAACTGGCCCAGAACTTATATATTTTTTGGGGTTTTCGAAGCTTGTTTTTACGCCCTATGAAGGTATTGAAAAAAAAATTTAAATTTTAGTACTTTATGATATTGAGTAGGCGTGGTCAGTTTTTACAGGTGTTACCTCATTGCCCGTCGATTATGCATTCAAATTTCTCGGCATGAGTAATGAGCGAAAACCCAATCATTTATTTCTTTTGAAAAACAGAGGTGTTCTCAGTTTGTTTGGTGCAAGAGCATAAATGCGAAAACTTTCGCAACCAGCATAGCTGCTAACTTTTTGAACAATCGACGACGTATCGTTTTAAGCAATTTCAAAAAGAAGCAAAGAAAAAGAGGCAAGTGCAGCTTGAAACCGTCGAAGCAGTTTTATAGTCTTGCTGGCATTGAAAATCCGCGATTATTTAGTCTGCAGTTACAAACGCTGCGGACAAGATTTGTTCTTTGTAAAAAAAAAAACACTCTCGGCATGATCCAGGGAATACTTGAATCGATTGAATGAAAGGCCCCCGAAAGTGTCTGCTGCACTCTCTAAATGCAGAACAAAATCCAGCTGATCAAAATTTCGAATCTCTTCGGAGTCATCAGGAAATGTATGAAATGCTCAACTGCCTTCAAAGACGCGCAATTCCTAAGGCGAGAAATGCATTCGTAGATATGTTGTGGCTGGTGAGGAGGCATAGTTTCAATGGTATCACTTCATGAAATCTTATATTAAACAAAAGGTGCTAACGCACTTTTCCAAGCGTTGCTAACGAAACCGCTGTGTATTGCGATAACTTAAAGCATTAGTAAGCATTAGAGTATGCTTTAAGCCTACAATCTTTTTCCTCTTTTGCCTTTCCTTTTCAAATTTTTAGCCTTTATTTTGCGTTAAAGGAAACTTGATTAATCTAAATCCTATATAAAATCAGCACGCATACCCTTATATTATCTGTCTGATGATATAGATTTGCCTAATGATAAGACGTTCACTATGCTTACACTGACTGAGAACACCCTGTCATCCAACCACTATTCTATCGTGCTGTAAATTACAATTCAATGCTAATGTCATCTTTAGTGTGCCATAGATAATGTGTACGTATGAAAGAGCGAACGCATCCATTACACGAGTATTTACCCCTGGCAAATAAGAATTCAAACTCACTTAAGTGAGTAAATACATACGTACGCAACTATTTACGTAACATATTTATATAATCGTAGTATACATGATATGCTTATCTTCGCTAATCGAGCGAAAAGCTTTAGAAAATGCAATGAAAATAGTTAGACACGACTAATAGAAAAGAGAAAACGTTAACATTCTGTAAGAGAAAGAAAAATGAAAAAAAAAAAAAAAAAAAATCGGTGACTCGTTGAATTGCATGCACATGTGGGTGCATGAAAAATCTTATCTATTTATGCATATGCATATGTACACGTGTGATTTTTTTCAATTTCATTTTTTTCGTTTTTCCCCTGCCTTTTTTTTTTTTTTTTTGATACGAATTCATTAAAAGAGAAAAAAAATGTTCCTGCATTCATTCACTTAATCATTACAAAGTGGAAAATGTTTGTATGCACGTATGCATAGATGAATGTATATACGCATGTATGCAAGCAGAAGTGCGCGTATCTATGTCTGCGGATAGCGTTAGAGTGAATATAAGTATCTCAGCATATATACCGCAAAACGGCGGCAACGGTTTAAATATATACATATTTCAACCCGCTCTGTGTATTTCATTACATTATTGATGTCAACTTCTGGCAACAAAGTAAAAGCATCTAAAAGCTTTAACTTGATAAATAAGTGCATATTTACAGACATAGATATTTGCTTACACAAACACACATAAACTAT